GAGAAAGCAAATGAGATATAAAAAAGACCAGTTTAGCAATGCGAATTGTTTCCAGTCGATTCCAGGCTCTTTCTTGGATATAACCGAAACATTTAAAATTCAGATCCACTCATTTAGCAGCTAAACGCTGACAGTCGCCAACTGTAGCCAAATGGGCGGGTAGCACTGTGACACACCTTGGTATTGCACAGCTTCAGTCACATTTGTATCGACTGAGAGGCCCACCTCCTGATGTGTGTATGTCAAAAAAGAGAAGTGCCACATTGAGTGAATGATTTGGAGCAAACCTGGACTGAGGGCCGTCTGCCGTGCGTTCGAATGACACAACATGGCGAAGGGAAAGGAAAGGGCGACAGGTGCCTGATTACAAAGATGAAGACTTCCTTCAGGAGCCTCCCCTGCCTCGGCGGCCTAACGAGAAGCCGCTTCTGTAGTTAGCAGGTGTGAGAGCTGGCAGCTCATAATGTCCTGTGGAGAAGAACAAAAAGGATGCTGGGGAAAGAGGAGGAGCTCAAGAAGAGACGAAGACACGTGGAAGAAACCGAAGGGATCCGAACCCAAACGGAAAAGCAGATATGATGCGAACGATCAATTCGAACGTGCGTGTGTATTGATGATTTGCACTTGAGAGACTCGCTATGTTACCTGCATGCGGCGAGCGGAGACGCTGAATCATTACGATAAGCTGGGGGGACCTGAACATGCGTCGGCTCAAATCGATCTCCATTAAAGCGGAGAACGGCGAGAGGCAGCCAAGCTGTTGGGCTGCGGTCAGATCGTGTTGCCCACCCTGAGATCATGTACAAATTAAAGACGTTTATTCATCAGCTGCTGCTTGTTGACAGTCAGGTCAGGTTTTTTCAGAAGACATTGGAAGGTGTTTGGATACATGTTCAATCACCTTAACTTTAATATCACTAAAGAAAATGAATGGAAACTAGTTAACTTCAGTTAGTAAATTCAGTCTACCTGTGTATAATTTAGGGTGTTTTCACACCTGATAATCCAGTAGACTGTTTGATTAGGGACCAAAATTGCATAATTGCAAAATTGCATAAAAACCATAATTCCAGATGCTGCAGTTCATTTTCACACGTCCAAATATGAATTCGGACCTTCACCAGACTTCACGTTCACTGAATCAAAAACTACGTTTTTTGGCGGACCAGAGTTTACAGTTTTGGTTTGCTTCAGAGTTCAATTGCGCATGCACATCTCCCCAAACAAACCGGGCTTTCTAGACAACCGAACCAGAGTTTGTTTAAACCGGTCTAAACCGGGCTGATGTGAATCCACCCTTAAACTATGAAAGTTTAAAACAAATTTAGGGTCTTAAAATAACTTTCCAAGTTGTGAATCTCAATATTATCATCGTCGGTATTAAAAAGTTCATGTTTGGTTGAATGCCGGCGTTTGCCGTCTGGACTTAAACGGTTTCAGTGTTGTGTGAAGTCGGCCATGCCAAGGGCAGTGGAAGGTCTCTGTTCCTGTTCTGACTCTACTGTATTATTACAGTGTTTGCATGAACTTGAAGGAGACCTGCAGTGTAAATTAATACAACCTCGTCATGCTGCAAATTCCTCTATAGCGATACAAATAGAAACTTGAAAAGAGCTCATTTCCCATGACTAATCTACAAGAAAAGTCTTCCTGAAAGAGGGGAATAAACACACTCAGTTTTGGGGCTCTTGGGCACTTGGAATATTCATTTATTTGAGAGGAATTTACATGGAGCTTGGTGTTTGTGAGGCATGTGCATGTTGCAAATGCACAACTAAATAAAAGAAGAGTGATATGAATGAACATTTGCAAGTAAGAAATGGAGCAAGTTGAGCAAAAAGCCGAGCTCTCTTGCATCGGTCTAATTTCTGAAACGACAAAGAAAACAAAAAAACAGTTCTTTGTGCTCTCCTGCTGCCCTCAGCACATTCCCTCTCAAAGAGACGGGCCGTTTCATCTGTTCTCAGTATGTTCAGGTTAATGTAACTTCCCTCATTTACCCAAAAGGCTGCTTCTCCTCCCCATCCTCAGCGGTTGACTGAACGTCTAGAAAAAAAATCGAGCCGAGGCTCCGCCTTTCATTAATAAAACTCATGCCATGTTCACTTTGAAGTTCTAATTTATGTTCCAATAAACTTTGTCGCAGCCTCACAGAAAGACTTTCTTTGTAAAAAATATAGTTTTCTTGACGATCTTATCGGAGTGTGCTGCCTCTTGTCCCTCGGTGTTTGAAACTCTGTGGTTTGGCAAAGCACCGCCCGGCTTTTCTTCTAAACGACACACATTCTCAGGGCTTTTGCTCACGTTTGTCTTGCACATAGGTACTGTGGCAGAATGGAACAGTACCCAAAAGGAATTTTACTATTATTTTAAAGCTACTAAGAACCTTTGTTTTTATGCTTAATTAGCATAAATGGCATCTACTGACTCCCTGTTGGATTCAGTAGCGAGTCTTGCCTGTAGTAAAGACCAGTGTTTTTTCTCTAGTTTTGCATAAATGCATTAAGCTGTGGTTTGTGTGCAGTTCTTATTCTGCTGTGTACCACAAACGTTCAAATATTAAGCAAAGTAAAATTGTCAGTATTCATAAATCAACCAGTTTTGCTCTGTGGAAAGCTAAATAAGAAATCCTTATCTTCCTAAGAACAATATGCACCATATTAAAAGATGGAATGGGAAAATTTAATATGCATTTCCAAACATTCAATTCATCTAAACCAGAAACTAAAATCCATACAAACACAGATTGACTAAAAAAGAGCAACACCACCAATGAATTTGCAATCTGCTCGGTAAAATGCTGATTAATAACAGAAAAAAAAAAAATCAGCTACATGAGTTAAAACTAATTCAAGCCAAACATTTATCAGTTATACCGGTTACCCACAAGTTCAAAAGAACAGTATTTATTTATTTTAAAATATTAAGCTTTTGTTGTATACTACCAAAGTGCTTTACAGGACATCAAAGAAAATAAGAGCAAAACCCTTTAGTTTTGCTAAAAAAAAAAGAGAGAGAGAAACCTTCATATCATAAGCACTTAAAAGAATTTTATAAGAAAAAAAAAAGTCAAAATGCAAATGTAAATTCAATCTCACACTTAAATCACTCAGCTGTGATCTTGTAAACCGTTTACTGGAGTCTTTGATTAAAAGCTGCACTAAACTGTGTTTCCGTTGTGCCTTAAAGGAGCCTTGATTTACAATACCATTTGTGTCCATCGCCCTTGCTCATGCTTGTAATTCATACCGTCTACTATGAAAGTTGAAGCTGGCTGATTTTTGAACTTGTGTTTAGCTCGCAGGGCTTCATGCAGCCTGCAGTAAAAATCGATGTGTTGAGAAGCAGAGCTAGTTATTGTTAGTTGTTGTCCAAAAGGGCTTCCAGGCAGGGGCCAGCTGCTTTTAACTATAGGAGTCTGCTGCTGCTGCTGCTGCTGCTGCCTGTGTACCACAAACGTTCAAATGTAAAAATAGGAACCCATTTCCTAATAAGCAGATTCATTCAATCTTGTCAACATTTTTTAATTCTTCCTGTTAGTAGGAAGTTATTCAGTGTTTTTCGTTAAGCTAATGCTACTTAGCCTTTATTTTAGATTTTTTTTTTCTGTTGACTAAAATGTAGAAATGTTTGGCTTTTATTTTTATAATATTTAAAATTCTGTTAATTTTTTACCACAAATCTGTGATGGTATTTTTTGAGGTGATGAAATTCTCTCTGCCGTTTCTATAAGAACTAGTTTCTTTACAATAGCTTTTTTTTTCTTTTTGAAGAGTAAATCATGTTACTAAATTGCTCTCTAACTCTTCCAGTCTTATGAACCAAGTCCTTCCAAAATCCAGCATATGTTTCTACAAAGCAGCATTGTTTTTGTCATTGTTTTCTCGCCAATCTTAACCATTGACTGGATCTTTTTGCAAAACATGTCAGATGCGCAGTGATTTATAGCTCTTATGTTTCATAACTGAGCTAAATGGCTTAAAAATGTAGCTAACCTTCAGCAGGTTTGTTAATATTACTTTAGCTAACTGTCAGCGTGTTAGCTAATACTCTACAAAACATGCTGAAGGTTTGCTAAACCAATATTGGCTAACATTCGAGAGGTTGGCCAATACTACTTTACTCAACCTTCAGCACGTTAGCTAATACTGCTTTATCTAATCTAAAAGTTACTGCTTTTGTCTTCCACTTATTTCATTTGAAGCACAACACTGTCACTGAAAATAGCTAATTTTGAGTCGTCTTCACTCAGAAATCACTTCCACACTGAAGAGTGTAATTGTTATGACCTGGTGTTGCTCAAGTTTGATCTTTTTCTTTGGGTTTGTGACTGAATCGTTCCTCGTCAGGGTCAGCAAAGCTGAAAAAAGTTTGATTACCGTCAACAAGCAGTTCCTCTCTGTATGCTCCATAGATGTTATAGTGTTAGAAGTTTCTTTAATGTGTTGATATAAAATAGAGAGGAGGATATTCCCAACAACTTTGACTTTTCCTTCTTTCACACACAGTAAGCTGGACTCGGATTTTATTGGCCTCCTCATTTAGGTGGAAGAATTAAAACTTTGTTTTTCAGGAAATTGTGAACAGCCTTATCAGAATCTGATCCAAAGCCTTTAAAAATACAATAATAAGAAACCTAGATGGTTTTTATAATAGAGAAACATTGTAAAAGTCCTAAAGATCACAGACACTCTGCAACAGGTACCTGTCAGTGTTGGAACATTCTAGGATCTTATAGCGCTCCGTCTGGCTCTGATGTCTGGGGCTGCTGGTTTTTATAGAACTGACATTTCTGGACCCCGAAGTTGAATTTTCCCTCCCCGGTCTGTAAATGACTGACACCTGAACTTCTAACACTTCTCCAGAGAATGGAAAGTCAGGAGTAATTTTTTTTTATTGCCGTCTTTCTAAAGTTGAAATTTCATTTGATTTTTTTTTCTTGCAGGTTTGTATTGTTGCTTTTAACCAACTTGTTTTGCTTGTGTGTGTCTGTGCTGCAGATCTGATCCACTGCACCAATGAGATGAACGTGAACATTCCCCAGCTGGCAGACACTCTTTTCGAGAGAACAGCCAACTCAAGCTGGGTGGTGGTCTTCAAAGCCCTCATTACCACCCACCACCTCATGATGTACGGCAACGAGGTACGGGACACACACACACACACACACACACACACACACAACCCCTCCAGGGCCATCTGTGCAGACTACATCACTAAGCAGTGTTATTACTCAACTCTGTCTGGCATGTTCGTAAATACAAACACATTAGGATGTTTTATTCATGTCCGCGTCGTCGGTTTGATCAGAAGGAAAGCCGACGTGTGTGGGATCGAGACGGCACGCGGAGGAACCGAGGACGCGCGCGACGGACACAAAGCTCGGAGTGATTGAAACGGCTCCTGAGTGCGCAGAAATTAATTGGCTCAGTGCGAGCTAAAGGCAAGATGAGGAGACGGGGATGGAAGCAAATGAATAATCAAACGAATTAGCTTCAGAAAAAAAAAAAAAAAAACATTCTGGAAAGATAGACGGACCCGCCGCCCTCTCTGTAATCTCACATGAAAATTCAGCTATATGGTCTGTCCTTATTTGTCTTCCTTACTCTGCAGTGCGTAGTCTTCACGCCTCTTGAGCAATTTATTTTGCCTGGTTGCAACTATGAATGCACGGCACCAACATTGATTTTACCTGATATTAATTAGCTTTTAACGTATCGATGAGATAAATCTCTGCCGATATAAACAACCGATATTTATTGTTTATCTTTCTGTCATCTGTTTCTGTTCACTTTTGTTTAACCTCGACGGTGTCGAAACGGTTGTGAAAAATACATGTAATATCTGTAAATATTGGTTGTTGTTAGAGCTGTGTAATATCGATTTTGCGATATATATATCGATATTTCCTAGAAAAAAANTCGATATTCATCCGCAAGTATCGTAACATCCAGCTGTCACCTTGCTCACTCACTACTTGGTTCGCCGGGAGAGTGATTAGGTCATCAGGCTTAGAATGATTCCTTCAGATGTTAAGTGTCGAGGTTAAAAAGGTATCAAACTATTCAGAGCAGGGTACTTGGTGCACTTTATTTACTTTATAAATCCATGCAAGCTACAGTTTGTACTGTTTCAATTAAAAGAAACATGTTTTCTCACCACTTCTTTGATTCATTTTGTCCAGCTGTCGACTTTAAGTCTGTGTCCATGTCCAAACAGAGCCAGATATTTTGTAGTTGGTGCTTTTAATCAGTTTTCAGTTAAATTAATTCAGTCCAACTCTATAACAGTCACAAAATGTCACCAAAATCACTCTGTCCCTCTAAAATCTTTCAGAAAATTGCAAAAGTTTATTGAATTGTATCGTTTGCTGAATATCACAATATACATTGCATCGTGAGCAGAATATCGTTTATCGTAAGATTATTGTATCACTACAGCCCTAGTTGTTGTCCATAATAGCTAATTTAATATCAGATGTTGATATTGACCCAAATTTTCATATCGATGCTTCTATGGTTGCAATCACAATCTTTTTGTTAAAATTCAGATTTTAGGCGGCAAACAATTATTTCAGTATTCAATTATTCTAATGATTATTTTTGACGATTAATGGATTAATTGTGTAGTCATTTAACTAAAGCTTTTTTATTCAAAATTAGAAATGCACCAAAATGCAAATGAACAAATTCAATTCCTTTTTAATAAGAAAATAAACATTTTACTGCCTGAAATGCAATAATATGACATTTCTTTTTGTGTATTTTTTTTATCTTTTGTAAAAAAATATATATATATTTTTTTTGTACAGTTTTGCCAGGAGCACTACTCTGAGTCTTTTTTTTTTTTTTGCACAAATGGTGTGTTTTTGAATCTCTATACTCCAGTTTACGGTTAATCAATTGCTAAGTTGGTTGATATGCCAGTAACCGATTAATCATGAATAATATGATTAATTGTTTCTGCCCCAGGTTAAATAACATCCAGTAGAACTACGGGTGCACCGATTGCAGAGTTCTGGCAAATTTTAATTTTAATTTTTAATTTTTTTATTTTCAAAAAAAAGCCTGACCTACCAATTTTGAGAGACGCTGATATTAGACAGTTTTTGTGTTTGCCTGAAAAGTTATTAAACTTATAAACAAAGTCTCTTGTTCTTAACCCCTAAATACAGCCCGTAAAGGAGATATTTGGAGTTTTTAAAATTATTTTCTAATTTATTCAAAGCAGATCTTCACATTACATATTCCAGTTTGAATTTTTAGTGATCTTCAAGTTTGCAGCCAGTTAATTATTCAAGTCGTTCCCCTTGAGAAACAAGTTTCGCACATTGTGTCTTTATGTAATATTCAGATGAATTTGTGGCGTTCTAGTGGTTATAGTGGCTCATCTCTGTGAAAACAGCAGTGGAAGCTCGACGCCGCTTTGTCTTTTATCGTACTGAATCGTCTGAGTGATTTGCAGACAATCCTGTTTAATCGCCACCAGCCTGTATTGTAAATCAGAGCATTCCCAACTAGGTAGGGGGTGCCAGAGCTCGTCCAGCACTCAACTTAAGTCAGGGTCAAAGAGATGATTCCAGCAGAACACACGCTGCTGTCACTGCGACACGCCGTTTCACCCAGACAGACCAAACACAGTCATACTTTTCAGCGGTTATCATGAACCACCTGCTGGATTCAGCAAGTGGAATAACAGCGAACAGTCACAAACATCACACACCTGCTACTTTTGTTTTCCTTTTTAATTATGGAACGGGGGAATTTTACAAAAACCTTTAAGCGTTACTGCAGACATGCAAATAAGTTTGGAAGTATAGAGCAGTATTTTCCAAGCACAGAGTGAATGGATTAATTAAAACAACAGCTGGGAACTGATACAATGATGCCGAGAAGGTTTTGGAGACGCAAACCATTCCGGTTTTAGTAAGCTGTAGATATTCTTTGATCTGTTTGGACTTCATCGCGTTTATCTGGATCAGCCTGTGCTAGCTTGTCAGCATGGTGGCTTTTTCAAATAAGATTTTTGCTGGAAAATAGACATAATTAGATTCCTCTGAATGTCCGACTATCTCCTTTAAAGGAAGCCCATTGTGCAGAAGGTTTCTGTTCTGACAGTGTGACTCACTGAATGTAAAACCACTGAATCAAGCCCGGCGATTGGCCGTTCATATTAATACATCCTTTCTTCTGCTTTTGGTGGATTACTGTATTGAAAATCCCCCTTTTGGGATTAGGAAACGGCCCACAACAAAGTGATGTCACTGAAGTTGAGCTCATTGCTCAGACTTACTGCGGTAGATTTTACTGATGAGGCTTTCATCACCAGGCTCATTTCTGGGAAACTCCTGCAAAGTAAATTGATAAAATGAACTATAAACTAAGCACAAAAATAATAATAAAAAATAACCTAGTGTAGGCACCTATCAGATGTGGTGTTGGGTGTTTTATAGTTGAATTCAGTTGTAGTCATGATTATTTCTTTGGTGCAGATTTAAATTTAGACCCATTTGCGTTTTCCACAAGATATAAAGCAATAATACAAAGATATAATCAAACAAAACGGTTCTTTTTCAGATAACGTCAACAGACATAAGCTTCAATTCAGATCTGTGCTGCTTTTGTACTTAAAAACTGGTATGTAAAATAGGTGCTAATGAATTACACACCTAGGCATGGGCTGGTAGCTTAGAAAGTCAATTTCAAAACCACTTACAGTTTAAATTTTATATGGTGAGCAGACGAAAAGTCCCTTTTCCAATTACGTTGCTGTTAGCCGTCAGTCACCTGTTATGTGTATCATGCCTGATTTCGGAAAAACTAAATATTTAGAAGGATTACTCTATCGGTTTAAAAACGAGCCAATTCAGGAACTTTGTCCCACAGCACAAAATAAAATCTAGCACCAAGATGTTGCTTTACGAAGCAAATGTTAGCATGACTGTTGGTTGAATTAAAAGGTCTTTCAGTAGGGCAAGGAGACATCGCTAATAAATTAGCTTTCTGTAGCTCGCCACTCTTCCACGCATTAATCTGCAGAGCAGAAAAACAAGACATTTTTTAGTAGTGAGCACATTTTACTCTTTCCCGTTAGTAAATTCAGTAGACATTTTACAAAAATATTTAGTTATCATCCTCCATAGTTTCTTCTGCTGCATTTTAATGCAGAAACGCAACAACTAATCCTGCTGTATAAATGATCCAGCATTTATTTTTCACAGATATAAGGATGTCTTCATCGTTTATCCATCGTTTTCACACACATACATACACATAAAAAAAAATTCAATTAAGTTTCTGTAGCTGTCAGTTTTTTTTAAGTGCCTGACAAGCTAAGAAAACAACAATAGAAATGAGGGAAAAATGCTACTACGTTACATGGCCTTAAAAGCCTGTCTAAAGAAACGAGTCTTCAGTTTAGTCTTCAAGTTTAGTCAGAGGTGGTGCGACGGTCTGGAGGGAGTTTGTTCCAGAGTCCAAGTGCTGCCACCGGAAAAGTCCTCTGATCCTGAACCTTCACCCTTGTTCTTGGGACATCTAATAAAAGTTGATTTGATGACCTGAGGGATCGCTCAGGTACAGGAAGACTTAAAAGGTCACATAAATCTGGTGGGGCAAGCCTGTTAAGAGCTTTAAAATCAAACGGTAAAACTTTAAGATCATTTCCAAGATGGACAGGGCGCCGGCGTAAAGAAGGGCGGGTTGAAGTCGTCGTTGAGACTGAGGGACGTCATAATCATGAAGTCCAAGATAATGTAAAGTTTATTACAATAATCGAGCCTAGGATTTGCAAACATGTGAATGGACCTTCTCTAAATCGGTGTGTTTAAAAAAAAAAAAAAAAAGACTTGACCCCAGCCAATTTGAGGTTGAAAATACTTGCACTCATATTAATCTTTCTTGTGATCGAGGGAAGAGTGTAGCGCTTCAGGAGCCAGCTGACCGGCAGTGTGCAGCTGTAGGAACGGTACAATAAAGTTTAGAAGATTTGAAATGTTAACTCTTTAAAACCTGGTATAAAGACCTTGCTTTAATGATCACCAACAGTGACGATCAACACGCTCAACTGTGAGCCTCTGAATGGAAATAACTCATGAATAAAATTAGTTTTAAAAAAACTAAATCTATTCTAGACCTGGCTAGC